TGTTGCTGTTGTGGCGATGGTGGGCACTGCGGACCATCATGCTATAGCCTGGGGGAGAGGAGTAGGAGGTCTTCTAGCGAAGGGAATACGAGGATAAGGGCTTCTCTGTTTCTCGCTGACTTTCCCGCTCCACTCTCTCTATCTATCTCTATCACTTTCTCTCTCTCTCTCTCTCTCTCCCTTTCTCTTTCTATCTCTCTATTCCTCCTGCCTCTCCCGGGCCTCGTCGGCTGGATCGCTCCTAGCCCTGCGGAGGCTGCGGGGGCTGGCGTTTGGCGTCTCTCCCCATGGGGTGGCGGGTGACGGGTGCACTCACCGTCCTCTACGTCTCCTGTGCGCAGATGCAGAACGAGGGCGATAAGGAGAAGGAGGAGGAGGAGGAGGAGGCGGAGGACGAGGACGAGAGCAAGGAGGATGATGACGAGAAGAAGAAGACGAAGAAGAAGAGGGCGAGGGGGAGCTGGAGGAGAAACGTGAGGAGGAGGAGGAGGAGGAGAAGGAGGAGGAGGAGGAGGCGGAGGAGGAGGGGGAGGGGGAGGACGAGGAGAGGCAGGGGGGAAGGGTGTCATCTGGACCTGGAGCTCGCCACCTGGCCTCCGTCGCCCCAGGCGGCTCGTCGCCGCAAGCGGCCTGGCCATGGCCGTCCAGACTGGCGAGGAGGTGCGCGGGCGCGGCGCCCTCGTCGTGTCGTCGGGTCGTGTCCGTCGCTGCTGCTGTCCCGGAGCAGGGGTCTTCAATGGGTGCTGAATGGCTGGCCTGTATGTCGCCCAACCAGATGCTCCCTCCGGTATGGTCGGTATCCACTACGCGTTGGGGCGTCGAGGCGGGAATGCGACACTCGAGGGTTGTCCGTTGGCGGTGGCGCATCGCCCAGCTATCGCTGCTCGCCTTGCTTCGTCGCGGGCTATCGCCTGGGGCGCATTGACATCTTGGTGCTTTTTTGTTTCCAAAGTGTGAATTCACAGTTTGCGTTCCCCCCACATGTTAATTCATACTTTGCGCATGCTGCTGATGCTGATTATGATGATGATGCTGTTGATGATGACGAGGACGATGCTGAATATGTTGCTGATGATGATGTTGCTTAGGACGGCAGTGGTGATGGTAACAATGATGGTGACGACGATGACGATGACGATGATGGTGATGATGATGACGATGCTGACGACTGATGATGATGATGACGACAATGATGACGGCGATGATGGATGGTGATGATTATGATGATGTTGATGATGCTGATGATGATGATGGATGTCACGATGATGCTGATGATGATGATGCTAATGATGATAACGATGATGATTATGATGGTGATGGTGATGCTGATGATGATGCTGCTGATGATGATGGTGGTGGTGATGATGATGATGGGGGTGATGATGATGCTGCTGGTGATGACGATTCTGATGGGGAGTCTCATGAGGATGATGTTGTCGATGAGGAAGATGGTGGGGTGACAGTGATCATGAGGATGGTGATGGAAATGAGGAGGACGGGGAGGAGGATGAAGAGGAGCTCGCGTGTACATACCCTCCGTATGTGCTGTATCCATCTGGGTTCCATGAGTTGGATGGTCTGAGCGGAGTCTGGTGGGCCTTAGGCATGTTGAAACCTCAAAGCGAAGAGTAAGAACATAGATGGACGAGGGCAACGATGAGGCGGAAGATGGTGAGATGGCGAGCGATGATGAGACTCTGCGAGAGTAAAGCCACAACATGGAAGAGGGGAACGAGGGGCAGGAGAACGATGACGTGGATGGGGACGAGGTGGACGAGGAGGACCAGGAAGTGGAGGACACGTGGAAGGGGAAGGTTCAGCGAGAAGTGGAACCGGAAGACGACGAGCGGTTGCAAGAAGAGAAGGAGGAGGATACCAGTGTAAACCCAAGACGCATCAACGATGTTGCAGTAAACCATTCTTCGGAGTTCCCTCTTCAGAGGTCCCTAAAATGGTTTATTTCCATGGCGGGAAGTCCCCCATTGGAAGACAACCGTCTGAGAATCATCAAGCGTGCAAAGACACCATATCGGGGATTTGAACGCCGCGAATCGACGTCGTAGTTGCGTCTTGACAGTCCTAAACCGTGCCATAGCATTATTCCTGGGACTTCAACATCGCGAATCAACGCGACTGTTGCGTCATGACGATCCTAGATAGCACCAGGATTCCAATCGTGATACTCACAGTAGCCAGTTATGATAAAGCCCGGGCGCCGTGCATCCTCGGCGCGCGCTGGGGGGCGGCGAGATCACCCCATCATCCTCGCAAGCGCGCGGCCGCCTCAACGACATGCGCTGGACCGCGGCGCTGCTCGCGCCGTGGGCCGTGAAGATTGCGAGGGAGGGCTGGTGGGTGCAAGGCCGCGATCGACAGCTATTGCTGCCATTGCTCGCAAGAATCCCCTGACGGTGGACGGTGTGCGCAATTCCTGGTAAACGCCTACAGTTGGGATGTTGCTGTCAAGGGTTTGCTCGAGAGGAACCCATCCGCGGGCAAGATGGAGGTGACCGAGCTTGAGGCGGAACTCCCCGAGCGCGGCTACGAAATCGAACCACCAGGTGCCGCAGGCGTCCATGTCGATGACGGAGGTTGCTTGCGCGCGCGATACGAGGAGCCTCTGCGCGGGGCTCAACGGCGTTGCGCCCTGCCCTACCTCCAGGCGCACATGGCCGAGCTGTTCACAGGGTGCTCGAAGCAGTTCTTCCTTGTCGAGCAGCTGCAGGCGGGCGACACGATGCTCGATTTCCCAATGATCGCGGCCCGCCAGGCGGACCTCCAAGACCCAGACGTGTGCGGCAAACCAGCCTCCTCCATTATTTCCTTCATGTGCGCAGATGGCGCAGCAGCGGGACGCGCTCTCCGAGGAGTGCAGGCTGGCCTTGGCCAAGAAGAAGGCGGTGGACTCAAGTGCAGGGGGGGGCCAAAGGGGGAGGGGGGGGGTCACCCGGCGGTGGCGGCGGCGGGCATCGACGTCGAGACACAGCGCAGGTGCGGGGATAAGATGAAGGAGTTCTGCAGCGGCAAGCCGCGGGAGCAGATGCCCTCTTATGTCCAGCCGCACATCAAGGATCTGCCCGCAGAGTGCCACGCGCTGGCAAAGTCGCGCTAGCGCGCCGCTGAGACCCGATAGGGCCACAGACCCCGGCCTCAGAACACAGACGCAGGCGGGCACGGCCTGTCTGCAAAAGAGATAAGGGGAAGGAGGGGCGATGCAACCTGAGGGGGAGCGTGGAGGGAAAGGGAAACAGTATTGAGCAGAGCCGCAGCTGCTGCTCATAACCCTTGGGGAAGCCACGCCACTTTGTCGCAACGGCACCGGCCTTTGGGGCCAGATCAGATTGTAGAGTGCGAGGCTGTTGTGCTCTGTGTGTCGTTTGGTTCTAGTGCACGACTTCTTGCATTATCGTGTTACGTTGCTTTCGAAACGCTGTTCAGGGCGCAGCAGACACTTTATGCCACAACGTGTCCCCTTGCCAAATGTCGGCGTTACCGCTGGCAATTCATTCCCGCGGCGGCGGCCGCTGGCTTTAACACGAGGGCTGACCTAAGCTCCGCGCAGGCGCGTTTGTCTCTGGCATGGTCCACCTAGGCGGCGGAGAGGTTTGAGGAGTGTAGGGAGGATCGAATATGTTGTGCCAGCGCTGGGTTTCCAGCACAACAGGCGCCTGCTGTTCGACACATGGCTTCTCCTCCCCAATTTTCTCTTCACATTATTAATAGTTGCCCTCCTTCGTGCCTGTCTCGTCCTCCTCCCTCGTTCGCTGTCCACGGCGTCGAGCTGCTGCGTTCTCAGCAGTCGTTGCAATGATTTGGCACACGAGCAACGAAAGTTGTGTGCGTTCCATCGCCCGCCTTCTTTTGATGCTTGATTCGGCGCCTTGCGCCAGAGGCAGGACTGCACTCACTGAGACACGACATGGCCCTCGATGGAAAACAACAAGCGAACTCAATTCCTGGTACTTCAGCCATACGGCTTCGTGAAACCGGAACGGCATAGCACGAACAAACGACTGCGCACGTAGCTAAGGCGAGGGCCTCATTTTGAAAAGGAGCCAACCTCCACGTTCGAAGTTCTGACTAGTTTTTAAGACGACTGTGCGTCGCTACTGCGAGAATCACATTTCGATCACAGACCGCCCTCCATCCTTGATGTTACTGGAAGCGATGATGACGAATGTTCGCGGTGCTAAGGCAAGAACCACGTTTCGAAAACGGACCGCCCTCCGCTATTGAAACGTAATATTGTTTTGAGACGAGTCTGCGCGGCTCTAAGGCGAGAGCCACATTTCAAAAACAGACTGCCCCCCATCTTTAAAGCTGCTGCAGTGAAATTAAAGAAGCGAATGCGCGAGGCGTTGAAGCGAGAACAACATGTTGAACATCTTCGTCCTCCCCCGAAGAGGTTGCACATTCCAAGCTTCAGGGGCACCAGCGGTGAGGAAGTCTCAGGTGAATCGCCCGGCCCGCCCTACCGACACGTCTGGGGTTGAGATAGGGAGGGATTATTCACAAGGAAAATGAATGGAGGATGATGAGGAGGAGGAGCTGGAGGAGGAGGAGGAGGAGACAGGACGAGAAGGACGAGAAGGAGGACGGAGAGGGAGGAGCGGGAGGAGGAATGCCTCCTCAGAAGTTTGCCCTTCTCGCGCCATCCCTGTGCGCGCGCCGCCAACCTCTGGAGGCTCCGCAGAGGGTTGGGTGCGTCCAACCCTCTCGATCCTCGATCCTGCGGGCGTCCTCCGCTGCTGGACCTCTTCCACCTCCACTCCTGCCGTTTCGGCCCTCGAGGTAGGAAGGGAAGAAGTAGGAGGAGGAAGCGGCGGAGGAGGAGGAGGAGGAGGACAAAAGGGAGGAAAATAGGGAAGGAGAGGGCGGGCGGGAGGAGGAGGAGGAGGAGGAGGAGGAGGAGGAGGAGGAGGACGAGGGGGGAGGAGGATGAAGATAGACTACTCATGGAGGAGGATCGCCTCATCTGAGCTGCACTGCTGGGGGCCTGTGCCCAGGCCGAGCGTGGGCTCGGGCATGCGGCCCATGCGGTGGCGTAAGTGGCACATGCGTCATGGCGCCACCCGCCTCTGCCCGAGTCTGGCTGCGGGACGCCCCCGTGAAGCCGCCGGGTCCGCCAGGGCCGCGGGCGGCGAAGACCAGGAAAAGAGGAGGAGGAGGCGGAGGAGGAGGAGGAGGAGGAGGAGGAGGAGGAGGAGGAGGAGGAGGGGGATGAGGAGGAGGAGCATTGGGGGAAGAGTCTGGGCGGAGCCGGCGCCTTCTCCGCCGCTCCTCCACGCGGTACCCCGGTTGCCTCGACCCCCATCCCTCAGGCCGGTCTCTCTCGCTGGACCGCTCTTTGACGGCCCCGGGGCCCAGCAGGGCCCCCCGAGGATGCACATTGCCCAAAACTTGTGCGTCGTGTTTTAGCTCAGGACTCGAATGGTTTGGACTCGCAGCCGCCCCTCCCGTCGTCGTCGCCGCCGCCGCCGAAACTGCCGTTGCCGTCGTTGGGCGGCGCGGACCCGGGGTAGCGCGAGGGACGCTGCCTTCTCAGAAGGTAGTTGGCTTCGAAGCCTGACCAACTTCTAAGAAGCTTTCTGAGAAGCCGAGCCTCGAGAGAAGCAAGTGAGGGGCGACCAAGAACCCCCCCACCTTATCAGAAGGCTGCCCAACTCGCACCACCTCGCAACGCTCCTGCGCGTCGCCAAGTCGTCGCCGTCGTCGCCGTCCTCATCCTCGTCTTCGTAGTCGTCGACGTCGTCGCCGTATTGCTCTTCTTCCTCCTCGCTTCTGCCCCCCGGACGGTGGCGCCTGTCACGGCGCCTCGCGCCAGGCAACGATCCGGGCCGCCGTTTCGGAGGCGAGGTCCGTCGGCGTAGACGAGAAGAAGATCCGCGAGGTCCTCGTCGTCATCGTTATCGGGGCACGCCAACTACACACCAGCACCGAACCTGGCCAGGCCAATCCTACGCCCAGCTTACGGCGTTGGTGCGTAGTTGGCGTTCTCCCATGTCGGGGATCGAAGTTCCAGGTCGGCGTTTCTTAGAATGCAGGGGCCGTGTTCGAAGGGTCCAAAGGCATCCACGAAGGCTCCAAAGAAGCCCACGGGTCCTTCCAAGGCGGCCGCCTCCCTCTAATACCCTGACCCCACCTTCTTAGAAGGCCGCCACCCTTGTGCCCCTCGGTGCGCGTGCCGCCAAGTCGAGGGTCAAGACTCGAGGTCGCCGTCATCACTGCAGAATGTGTTTGGCACTTACCGGGCTGTTGTAGGAGCCTCCTGAGACCTCCGAGGGCCGATGCGTGCCGCCGGAGGTCGTCGTCGTCGTCGTCGTCGTCGGCAGCGTCCCTCACATCCGAGGCTGAGGAGAGGGGAGATGGGAGATGGGACAAGCCATGTGCGCCAGCGCCGCGTCCGTATTCCCTCTAACAGTAACTATTGTTGTTGTTTGTTGTGGAATTTGCCATTCCAAAGAATGATTGTGGTTGGTCCCCCTGGCGCGGTTACATGCGTACTTACACAATTTGTTTGCCCCTCCCAGAGCTGGCGCATTGTTTTTCACTGGGGAACGTCTTGGGGATCAAGCTTATCTGCAGGTCCGGGGTGCTGCGCTCGCACTCTGCCACCTGGCTGACCGAAAAACGGCACAGAGCGCGAGTGCTCGGCTGCGTCGTTTTGCTCGTTTCCCCTCCTTTGTGAAGGATGGATGGCTCCCCCCTGTGGATCCCCCGAGGGGCGTACGGTATGAGATAGCCTGACCGTGCTTCGCCCGTTGTGTCTGCTTTGTCGCTCGCGATCCCTCGGCAGGCTGAGCCTGCACCTCGCGGGCATAGCGTCTTATTGGCGGAATGGTGCGGCCGCGCCAGCGACGGGCACAGGCTCCCATGTACCAGTCTCTCTGCACAGGCTAACATTGCCCCGAAGTCGAGTTGTTCGCAACTCCTCCTCCACCCACCTCCCTCCTCCTCGTCCTCCTTCTCCTCCTTCCTCCTTCCCCTTACCTCGCGCGCGCCACCCTGCGCGCGGAAGGGGCGACAGCGACGACGACGACGACGACGACGACGACGACGACGACGACGTCGACAGACGACGACGACGACGACGACGACGACGACGACGACGACGACCACGACGACGACGACGACGACGACGACGACGACGACGACGACGACGACGACGACGACGACGACGGCTTGCGCCCCCAGAGGGGCTCTCGACGAGTCGCAGCCGGTGGAGATCACCCTGGGGCCCGACAGCCTAGATCTAGGCCTCCCAGATGGTGCCGGAGTAGATGAGGTTGGAGGGTCGTGTCGCATCGCCGATTCAGCGGGGTTGCGGCTCGATGTGGAGCCTAGTTTTCTCCACGCCGATGGCGCCGATGCATCGCCGACGTCGCAGGTGCATCGACACTGTATCGGCGAGGCCTCCACTGGAGGAACGCCCGAACACCTCCAGAAGCATTTCGCTAAACCCGACAGCGACAGACGACGATCGACGGCGAACACGAGGATCGATCGACGATTGACGACGACCCTCGACCCATGACCACGACCCACCACCCACCAACCACCACCCACGACCGACCGGCGACGACGAGGGCCTGTACCTCCTCTTCGAGGTGCAAGTCCGCGACGACGATCGATGGCCATAGTCGACGACGACGACGACAGCGACGACGGAAGACCGACGACTGACGACCGACGATATATATATATATATATATATATGTATATATATATATATAGATAGATATCAAAATTTGATCGTATCGCTCGGGCTTCTTGGTTCGCAGGCTGGAGGGTATCACCAGCCCGCCCATTGTCCCGAGCTCGGTGGTCGGGCAGCTTCGACGTCCCTCGCTCGCGGTTGGGGGAGGGGGTCGATGTTATTTGGGTGAGGGGCCCCGATCCAAGCCTGTCGGCTGGCCCGCCTCCGCCGATCCTTGGCACTCAGTGGCTCCCCCGACTTACTTGCAACAGCTTGGCTGCCTTCATGGCTTGCGGCGCTTGGGCATGTCGGTCCGTCGAAGGAAGACTTTTGAAACTAGCGTTTTACTAAGAACCACTTCGCATACCCCTCCGTCCCCCGGCCTCAGCACTGAACAGGCGGCGCAGCGTTCCCAGGGAAGCGGGGCCAGAGAAATCTTGCGCCCACCATATCTCCAGCGCAATACTTGCCAGTGCTGAGGCCCGGGGGGTGGAGGGGGGACTGCGGTTCTCTAGTGACTACAGCGTTGTTTCTGTCAGCCGTGCCCTTTCACTCCCGCACGCCCCGCGGCAGGCCGAGGGCGCGCTGCGGCAGATGGCCGCCTCGCAGGCATTGGAGGCGGCAGTGGCCACCGACGACGAGGCGGCGGTGCAGAAGGCCGCCCCCCCCCCCCACCCCCAGAGGCGGCCCACCGCCTGGCGGGAGGCTCGGCTGGCTCCGCGCTGCAGCCGAGACGCTGAAGGGAGGGCCACTTTGGGGTCTCAGGAGGATCGCCGAGTAACGCAAGAGGAGGAGGAGGAAAAGGAAGAGGAGATGGAGGAGAAGGAGGAGGAGGATGACCAGTGGAAGCCCAAGGCTCAACAACGATGTTGGAATACACCCTCCCTCCAAGCTCCCTCTTCACAGGCCCCTACAATGGTTCATTTCCACTGAGGGAACTACCTCGTTGGTAGAGAACCGTTTGATGACCCTGAAGCGTGCCAAAACATCATTCTCGGAACTCCAACGCCACGAATCAACACGATTGTTGCGTCTTGGCGATCCTGAATCTTACCAGAACATCATAGCCTCCAACACCGCGAATCAACGTGACTGTTGCGCCCTCACAATCTTGAGTCTTTCCGAAACACCATTTCTGGCACGTTGACCATGTGAAGCCGTGAAATTGATGCAAGCTGTGAAATTGAATGTGCGCGGCGCCAAAGCAAAAGCCACATGTTGAAAATGAGCCGCCCTCAATCCGTGAAGCTCTTGCATTAAAACATGTGCGCACTAAGGCGTGAGCCACATGTTGTTAACGACCCGCCCTCAATCCGTGAAGATCTTGCAACTTTTAAGACGAGTGTGCGCGGCGCTGAGGCGAGAGCCACAGTTTGAAAACGACCCGCCCTCAATCCGCTAAGATATTCCAGATATGTTTATAAGGTATGCGCATTGCTAGGGCGAGAGCCACATTTTGGAAATGGCCCGGCCTCCACCCGTGAAGCTTTTGCAATGATTGAAAAAGATTGTGCACGGCGCTAAGGCGAGAGCCACAACATTTTGGATGCGGCCCGCCCTCCATCTGTGGAGTGGTTGCCAGTTTCAGGGCCAAAAATTGTGAGAAAGTCTTAGGCGAAACGCCCAGCCCGCCCTTTCGACTGGCCTCGGGGGTGCCACGGCGAGGATTTAGTTATTAGAAAAAGGAATGGAGAAGGAGGAGGAGGACGACGACGACGATGACGACGACCACGAGGACGACGACGACGACTAGTATTAGTAGTAGTTGTGAGACTACTACGATTACTACGACTCCTACTACCACTACTACTACTACTTCTACTACTACTACTACTACTACGACGACTACTACTACTTCCAGTATTATTACTACTACTACTACTACTACTACTACTGATACTACTACTACTACAACAACAACTACTACTACTACTACTACTATTATTACTACTACTACGACTACTACTACTACTACCACTACTACTACTACTACTACTACTACTACTACGACTACGACTACGACTACGACTACGACTACTACTACTACTACTACTACTACACGACGACGACGACTACTACTACTACGACCACTACTACTACTACTACTACTACGACTACTACTACTACTACTACTACTACTACTACTACTACTACTACGACTACTACTACTACTACTACTACGACTACTACTACCACTACTACTACTACCACTACTATACTACTACTACTACTACTACTACTACTACTACTACTACTACTACTACTACTACTACTACTACTACTACTACTACTACTACTACTACTACTACTACTACTACTACTACTACTACTACTACTACTACTACGACTACTACTACTACTACTACTACTACTACTACTACTACTACTACTACTACTACTACTTCTACTACTACTACTACTACTACTACTACTACTACTACTACTACTACTACTACTACTACTACTACTACTACTACTACTACTACTACTACTACTACTACTACTACTACTACTACTACTACTACTACTACTACTACTACTACTACTACTACTACTACTACTACTACTACTACTACTACTACGACTACGACTACTACTCGACTGCGAATGGGTGACCGACCAGCGGCGCCAGCCAGAGTAGACAATACTCGACGCAAACTGTACCCCGCGCAAAGTTTGTTAGAAATCCTGGAACCCCCGGAACGTATCAAGAGCACGTTGTGTCAATATATTATTCTCGTCTTATGGTTGCCAGCAGTACCCTCCTCGACCAGAGGGCCACCAGTGTACTTTAGCTAGGCGTCCCTGCCCTCGTCGCCGGCGCCTCCATGATCCTCCTCCCCATGCTCCTCTCTGCTGCCTACCTTGCGTCTGCGGGACCTCCCTGGTGCCAGTGACGACCCGATCCGAAGTCCCGACCCGATGCCGGCTGCTCCTGCCAAGTCGCGCGAGGGTGGCCCCAAATTTGCGAGGGGAAGCTCCGTGGTGGGCTCGTGGGGGAGCCGCCCCTCCTCGGCTTACCCTCTTTGGACTGGGGGGCCGCTGATCTTTGGGTGGCCTCGCATGCCTTGTAACTGGCGCCCTCGGCGTGGATTCGGTGCGGATGCGACGACGCGGTTCGACGCGTTCGGCATGTTTTCGACGGGGACTCGGCGCCTACAGCGGCGCGATGGATCAGACAAGGCCCCCCCAAGATAAAGCACAATGCTGGTCTCGACGAGTGGTGGGGGGGTGAGCGAGAGGGCCGCTGGGGAGGGTGGACGAGAATGAAAAAGACCCGATCCCTAATATCATAATGAAGACGTGGCCTTACTTAGGTCTCCGTTTTTGCTTTCGGGATAATATCTCTGGGCGTATTGGTTTGATACATCTGCTGAAAAGACCCCATATCCTTCATGTTTGTGGCTCTTCTAGCCAAGGTTTCCTCTGAAAGGATGAGGGGTATTTCTATTGTTTGTCAACGGGGGCCCCACCTTCGAGGGTCCAACGTCTTGAACAAACCAAGGCGGCGTTCTGTTCGCTGTCCTCAGCCTCTCGGGGCCCTCGCCGAGCCCCAGGGCAGTCAATAAAGGGGCTCGTCATGAGAAGCCAGCCCTGTGGACAGGGTCAGGACTTTCAGGGGCCCCGTGTTGAGCAGAAGTCGAGACATCGGATGCTCGGGGAGGGAGGGAAGTCATGTGTATGAAGGGATTTGCGGTCGTCTCTTCTGACCTTCGAGGGACGGACGGTGGGGGGGAGCATGATCTCAACTTTTTGTTGCTGCCGTCGTCTTTTCTGGGCTGCTTGGCCCAGTGCGTTCGGCCGCGCGACGTCCAATGCGCTCCAAGCAGTCCCTGCACGCTGGCCGGCGGCTCCTGCCTTCGTCCCCACCTTCAACGCTCAATGGCAATTTCTTTCGGCACAGCGGCTGCCGCAGTCGCCATTTTGGCTCAGGGAGTTTCAAATCACGTTGCATTCCTCCTGGAACAACTATTATCAAAAGTTCTATCACCTTAACCCTCCTTGTGCATCGCCGTGATTCCCGGGAATACGTTCCCCACGAGAGTGCCCGCATATTGAAGTGCCAGAGGCTGGGCTCAGATCACATCACCTCGCAGGCACGAGGTAGTTATGGCAGCGGCAGCAGGCCCGGGTGCGGCACAGCCGGGAGGAGCAGCAGCTGCATTTCGGGTCTTAGAGAGAAACGTCCATCGTAAAAGGTTGGCTGAGATCTTTTACAAGAACGCTTGGTGGGTCTGCACCAGTCCCTGTACCTGCGGTGGTCACGGTTGCGTTTCCCCCTCCACAGCCCCGCTGTGCATGTCGCAGGAGAAAAACTGTTGCATCGAGCATCTCTGCCAGAGCGAGCCCTGGGACGAGGGCGGCATGGGCGTGTGCTTCGAGATCTCCAAGTTCTGTTGTGTCGTGAACCATTGGAGTTGCCCGCCTGGGGGTGGCCCGAATGATGGCGTACCACTCTGCGCTTGTTGCAACCGGCGCTGTGGCGGAGAAACAGGTGAGGTCGTCCTGCCCAAACAAGATGCTCAGTTGATGAATGACACGTGGTTGCTGTATTATTGCTTGTTCATGGGATGTGGGTTCACGCGTTGTTCCGACCCGTGCTGCAAGTCAAACAAGAAGGTCTGCTGCATTCGCAGCACATGCTACACCGACGACTGCTGCCCGTCGGATCGCGATTGTATCTACTCGAACAGCAAATTCTTATGTTGCATCAATGCTTGCACGTGTCCCCCATTTGGTGGTAAGCGAGACGGCATTCCAGCCTGCGCATGCTGCGGGAATGTTATATTCGGCGCCCCCTCACCGCAACCTGAGTCAGAACCGCTCATTACAGTTCCGGCGCAGGAGAGGATGATGGCGGCGCCTTGAGGACGATGGCCACAATGACTGCAGCACCACTCGAGCGGCTTTCGTCGCCTGCGATCCTTCCTGCCAGACCTGCCGGGCCGACGCCCTCGCCTGCGTGCAGTGATCCAGCGGTGGCTCCTCCTCCTCCTCCTCCTCCTCCTCCCTCTCCACCTCCTCCTCTCACCTAGACGGTCCGCCGAGTGTTTTAAGCGTTCTACAGTCTGAGACAGACCCCCAGCGGCCTTACCCTGATCCTGATCCTGATCCTGATCCTTATCCATTTTCTTATCCTTATCCTTATCCTGATCCTGTCCTCCTTCTCCTCCTCCTTCTACTGCTCTTTCCCACCTGCAGCTCCGCTCCTCGCTTCCTCTCGCCGCCCCTCGTTTTTCGGATTGGTGGGTGTCGCCGACAGCGGCACCACGGCCAGCGCCTGCAGCGGTCGCAGGCATCACGCCTGCGGCCGGCAGCGGCAGCGCCCGCGCCCCTTCTCTCGGCTACGCGCAAGAAGCCCTTCGTCGGAGTGACCATCTGGTGCGAGCCCACAGGGGTCCCCCAGCACTGGCCGGCGCGCTCGGACTTGGCCCGCCCGTGGCCCTCCGAGACCGCGCACCGAAGGGTCACCCCTGCCCGTGGTCGCTCCTTCGCGCAGCCGATGGCAGCGACAGCGCCCGCGCCCTGTGTTGTGCCGGCACCGAGGCCACGCGCCCGCAGAAGGCGCCCGAGCCCAGCGCCCCCAGCGGCGCGCGGCCCGGGGCGCCTCGCGGAAGTCGCCCGGACCACCCGCCTTCGGGGGGCGGCCAAGAGGGTGGTGATATCTCCCCAGAGTGGGAGGCTTAAGGGTTGACGCTGCCACTGATATCGGCGGTGTGCCTCCACCGAGGGAAGAGGGTCCCGATCTCGGTGACGGTGTCAACATTCGGGCTTCCTAGGTGGCCGAAACATGACCACCAACACCAGAATCTAGGATCATCTTGCACCAGTGGAGGCAAGCCCCTGTGTTGTTATTGGTGCCCATTTCAAGCCTTCAGCGAGTTCATGGCGCCTCGTCATGCTTCAGCACGTTCCCGGCCCCCCCTGGGCCGCGCACATGCCGCCGGCCATTCTTTGTGACCCCCCCTCTTGGACGCCCCACTCCTGGACGTCCCACCCCCTCTTGGACGCCCCCCTCTTGACCTTGCTGCCCGTGCTCGGCGCCTGCAGAAGGCGCTCGAGCTCCCCGGGGCGCCTCGCTTCGCGCCCGCCCCGGGCTCCCACGCCGGAGCTCCCGTGCCAGCAAAGGGGGTAGCGCCTCGCGCCAGGAGCGTTACCTGCGGCATGGTCGTTTTCTTCCGCACGGCGCGGGGGCTGTGGAGCGCTCGCACCCCATCCCCGCGGCCGGCTTCTCGCCGCGGGCCACTCAGAAGGCCCAGGGGTCGATTGCAAGGGGGGAGTAGGGGAGAGAATCGTACCTCTGGGCGTCCTGAAACAATCCGCTTCGGTCAGCTTTCCCCGAGCTCAGCCCTTCTCACGGACAAACCGCGACGCCCAGTTTTATCGGAGACAGCACTGTTCCCCACGAACAGATCGTGACGGCCAGCTTTTCCTCCAGTGTTTGGGCGTTTGGAGGCCCGTTCTGGGCCTCCTGGGCCGTCAAAAAGCATTCCCAGATATCGGTTCGAGAGGTCCAGGGGGGGCCCACGCCACAAAAGAGTCGCGACATCGGGGGTCTTGGTCTGGGGGCCTCCCCGCAGACTCGAGAGGACCAGGCAGGCTCCACAGGGGGTGGGTTGGGATGAATTTTGATCGAGGGCAGGTGAGGAGGCCGAGGGGGGGAGGAGGAGGAGAAGGAGGAGGAGGTGGAGGAGGAGGAGGAGGAGGACCAGTGCAAACCCAAGAGTCATCAACGATGTTGGAATACACCTTGGGTTTGTCCGGGGGTCAGAGAACGGGGTCGTCTGTAGGAATGGCCCCAGAAGTGGCGGGGAAAGCGATTAAAACGGAAATCAGTTTTCGTTTTGGTGTGAAGGTTTTTGGGGTCAATTTGTTGTTTTGAATTATGTTTGGGTTAAGCTCTGGCTCCATATTCGTACTGTTGGTGTGCATTTGAAAGTGTCGTTTGTTCTTCACTATTGCATATGCGTCGGTCTTCGGGGTGGGTTGTCCGATGGTCTAGGCGCAGCTGCCGGCTTCGACCAGTGCCCCAGGGCGTCGGTGTTCGGCCGTGGTTTTGCAGTTGCGTCTTGCGATGCAAGTTGGTCTTCGGCCTCGGTATTAGTCTTCGGCCTCGGTCTTGCGATGCCGCCTGTCTGCGACCTCGGCCCACGTGGTAGAACAACGAAGATCGACTTCAGATTTGCGACGGGGGGGCGGTCTTGATTTCCTGGGTTCTGCGTGCACCATCGCTCACCGACGGCGCGGTTCCCCTTGGGTCCCGTGACGCGTGGTTCGTTCTATAGCCCGCGGCGCCAACGGCCTCGTTGCCGCGGGGCACGCGAGCACGCGCTCGTCTGCGCGAGTATTGTGTCGCACCGCGCAGCGCGAAGCGGGCGAACGCACGAGCGCACATCTTCAACAGCGAGGCTTCGATATCACGCGCTGTTTGCGCGGGGACTCGCGTTGCACAGCCGAAGGAAGTGGGCGAGTCCTCTGAAAAGAGCACCGCGTGCGCGTCGCCGAGTGCGTTTCGCATTGCGCCCAGCTGCCAGAAGCAAGTCCCTCCACCGCGCCAGTCCAGCACTTTGGGCGGCGACTGTTCGAGCGATGGAAACGGCGATGGCGGCGACGAGGACGGCGACCATAATGCGAAAGAGACAAACATTTGGCTGTCACACGTGCGCACTCCCAATGGATTTCTTGAAGAGCCCTCATGGAGTTCAATTGGGCCGTATCAGGGCAGTCTTCGGTTCCTGTGGGGCCGTCTTGCGGGCCCCTTGCGGCTTCCCTGGGTTGCTCTGGGCTCCGCGTGAGCCGTCTTGGGTCTCTCTTGCGGCCTTCGTCGGGGCGTCGCGGGGGCGCCTGGGTCCGTCGGGGGTCGAGAGGCCCCCCCCGGGCCGTCTTGGATCCCTTCGGCTGTCTTCGTAGGCTGTCTTGGGGCTCTCTTGGGGCCGTCCTGTGCCGCATTCTGGAGGTTTCTCGGCTCATTGTCGCGGCGTCCTGGGCCGTCTCAGGGCAACGTGGGAGGCTTCGTTGGCCGTCTCGGGCTGATTGAAGCCGGAAGCGATTATGTCCCCAAACCAACGAAGCGCCGTATCAACGTCAGCGAGTGTCGTCTAGGGTCTTTCGGGGTCCTTTTGCAGACCTCCTGGGCCGTCCTGGGACGTATTGGGGGCTTCTTTGAACCATCTTGGTTCCGTGCTGGGCCTCCGTGGTGCCGCGTTGATTTGTCTCGGAGCCATTTCTGTCCGTCCAAGAAAGAACCTGGGGCCATCTTGGCGGCCGATTGCCACCCGGGGCCGTTTTGGGAGACTTGGAGAGCCTCGGGGAGTCAACGCGGTCGCCCGGGAACCCTCGAGAGAAGGGGCGGCTCGCGGGAAAGCGCGCGGCGGGGCGGGCGAGCCCCCTCAGCGAATGGAGAAACCCTACCAGACAGCACTTGGCATTCGCACGCTCGACTATCGCGGCGGCGCGGCGCCGCCTGGCGCGCGCGAGCGAGATTGGGCCTCTGCGCCGCCGCGCGCGACGGCTAGAAAGGCGCTCGCGTTGGATTTCCCGCGCGCGCGACGGCCAGGCACCTCCGCGCGCGGAAAGCGCAGCGCGAGCGGCCTTCCATCGGACGCGCCTCTGAGGCCGCTGGTGTCTCCCAGCGCGTCGTGGCCGAGTCTCGCCCGCCATTCGCCTTCGCGGCCCCGTGCGAGGGAGGCGGTTGCGCGGTCAACCTGGGGCGGTTAACTGGCTTATGGGCGGCCGATCTAGGTCGGTCCGCGCGCGGTTAGGCGGGCAACTCGGGCGGTCAATTCGGGGGTCCAACGCGCGGCCGGGCGGTCAACGCGCGGCTGGGCGGTCAACCTTGGCGGTCAATTCGGTCGGTTACGGCGCGGCGGGGCGGTCAACGCGCGTCTGGGCGGTCAACCCGGGCGGTCAACTCGGTTGGTCAACGCGCGGCGGGGCGGTCAACGCGCGGTTGGGCGGTCAATCTGGCCGATCAACTCATCAAAGCGCGCGTCGGCCGATCAAATCTTGGCCGACCAACTGGGCCGATCAACTCGTCAACGCGCGCGCGCGGTCAACTCGGCCGATCAATTTGGCCGATCAGCTGGGCCGATCAATTCGGCCGATCAACTCGGCCCATCAACTCGGCCGATCAACTCGGCCCATCAACTCGGCCCATTAACTCGGCCGATCAACTCGGCCGATCAACTTGGCCGTTCGACTAGGCCGATCACTTCGGCCGGTCAACTCGCCTGGCCCCTTTGGTCGGTACTTTCGGGCGGCCAACTCGGGGGGGTCAACTCGGGCCGTCAATTCGGGCGCGGGTGCCTGCGCGCGCCGCGGGTGCCCGGGCGCCTCCGCCCACGCACGCCGCCAGCGCTTGGGTGCGCTCACCCGCGCTCGCGGTGGGTGCCCGAACGGTTTTATTCAGAGCTTCCCAGGCCAATGGGTTTCGTGGCCTGGAGTTTTTTGGGCCCGTCTGGTTTCGGGCGATCCAGTATCGCCCAAGCTATCGAAGCCTCGGTCGACCCAGAGCCTCCCAGACCCTTGCGCTTCGAGCGATCCAGGGCCTACTAGACCCTTGCACTGGGGCCCTCTGGTGGGTGGATGTCACGCAAATCGCTCGGCTGGCGCCGAAACACAAGGCGCCCTTCGATAATCCTGAGCAAAAAACCGCTCGCGCACTGCGCCAGATAGGAGTGCAGCGCAGCGCGCGCCGCCCAAATCGCATGGCTGACGCCGAGACAGGGGAGGCCCTGGCAATCGAAGTTCGCAACAACCGTTCGGCTGACGCCGAGGCAACCGCTCGGCCAACGCCTCCACGCCGCCGCGCGCGCGCGGAAGCGCTGAGCCGACGTGCGTGGAGGCATGCAACGGGAGCGGCCTCTGCGCCGGCGGTTTCTGCGACGCCGCGCGGTTTCTGCGACGCCGCGCGAGGGGGCGCCGTGCCGTCGTGCACAGGGGAACGCAATGGAGGCGGCCCTTGCGCCGCCGCGCGCGCGGCGGCGCTGCGCCGTCGCGCGTGGGCAAATTGCGACGAGGCCAGCTTCTGCGCCGTCGCTCGCGCGGCGTCGCTGTGCCGTCGATTGCTGTGACATGCAGCGGGGGGGGGGTCTCTGCGCCGCCGCGCGCGCGCGGCGGCGCTGGGCCGTCGCGCGCGGAAGACGCGCCGCCGGCGGCCCCTGCGCCGCCGCGCGCGCGGCGACGCTGGGCCGTCGTGCGCGGAGAAGCGCATCGCGAGCGGCCATTGCGCCGCCGCGCGCGCGGCGGCCGCCTGCGTGCGCGAGGGAACGCAATGGAGGCGGCCCCTGCTCCGCCGCGCGCGCGGCGGCGCTGGGCCGCCGCGCTCAGACAAAATGCGACGAGACCAGCTTCGGCCCTTCCGTGCGCGCGGCGGCGCTGTGCCGTCGTGCATGGAGAGGCGAAATGGAGGCGGCCTCTTCGCCGCCGCGAGCGCGGCGGGCTGGGGCCTTCGCGAGCAGAAAACGCAACGCGAGCCGTTCCCGCGCCGTCGTGCGCGCGGCGGCGCTTGGCCGTCGTGCGCGGAGAATTTTGACGGTGGCGACCTTTGCGCCGCCGCGCGCGCGGCGGCGCTGAGCTGCTTGCGTAAGAATGCGATGGGGGCAGCCCCTGCGCCGCCGCGCGCGCGGAGGCGCCGGGTCGCCCCCCGCGGGAAACGCATGCGTTGGGCCGTTGCGCGTGGAGAAGTGCAACGGGGGCAGCCTCTGCGCCGCCGCGCGCGCGGCAGGATTTGGCCGCTTTGCGCAGAGACATCGCCGTCAGGCTGTCTTCTCAGTTAGCGCGCTACGGCCGCGGGGTTTGCACCGCTGGCGCCCGACAACATTTCGCGGAAACGCGGGCCTGTTGTAGGATGCCTTGTCCGGTCTTAAACGCGGCTGTGTTCGACGGGCGCTGGTTGCCCCATGATTTGACAGTGTGTTAGTGCAGGTCCGTTTGGGTGCACCATATCATTAGATGCGGCGTTTTTGTTATTCGCGTGGCCTCTAAGCTCGTTTACACATCGATTTCGGCCTTTTGCCCAGACGTGTTAGGCGCCGTTTGCAATGAAACCCTGTGAGACGACCTCAGAATTTGAAGTTCTAGATGGAAGCCATGCTGGGCCCTCGGTGCAACGGAAATCTGGACCAGACATTTCGCGCACCAAGAGCACGTTGACGCGAAAATGTGCGAACCAAGAGTCACGGCAACGAGCGACTAAGACGGCCCTGCCGACGCCCCTGCGGGCTCTCCTACAGACCTGACCCCCCAGACATTCCCAAAATACACCCTCCCTCTAAGCTCCCTCTTCATAGGCCCTTACAGCGATTCATTTCC